AAAAAAAAAAAAAAAAAAATGATAACACAAAAGGGGGAAGGGTGTGGGGGGAGTGTTGAAAACCTACCTCGTGGGTACCATGTTAACTATTTGATGACAGATTCAATAATAACCCAAACCTAATTTTCATGCAATATATCCATGTAACAAACTACACATATACCCCCTGAATCTAAAATTTATATTCATAAAATTCATATATATGTGTGTATATATATATATATATATGACATGTATATGGGGAGGACCCAAAAATATGGAATTTATTTATAAAAAATTGTATATTCTTGTTTAAACTTCAGTCACCTTCAAAGTACTCTCCATTTGATGCAACATGCCTATCGAGATGCTTTGTCTACTATTCAAAAGTTTTTGAAGTTATCAATTTTGATGTCTTTTAGTGCTTCTGCCGTTTTGTTTCGTTTCACCTCTTCCACATGAGCAAAACATTTCATTTTGAGAACTTTTTCATCCAGGGAAACCAAAAAAAGTTGCTCGGGGTAAGATCGGGCGAATAGGGAGGGTAAGGCATGGGGGTCATGCTGTTTTTAGTAAAAAAAAAAAAAAAAACTGCTGAACACTCAGCATGATGTGGGGAAGTGCACTCATAAATTATCCATCATGAAATAGGCAAACACATTGAAAAAAAACTCCAAAAGAAAAAGTCACTGAAGTCAACTGCAGCCTTTCATAATAACGCTAGCTGGTACACTGATGCCGATGGGTTTTCAGAACACTCACCTGGGCAGGGGGCGGGGGAAGCCGGTACTACATGGGGCCCACCCTCCAAAAGATAATTCCAGTTTTTTTGGATCCCCCTCAGAGAGAGAGAAAAGATAGATAGATAGATAGATAGATAGATAAAGAAAGTTTGAAAAAAATGTTAAATTAGATATAGGCATTCATCTAATTTATTTATTCTTTGTGCTAGACTTACTTATTATCTTCCTTTGGAAATAATAAAAATGAATAAAAAACAATAAATAAAATCTAAAATTAAGAATTTGAGCCGGGTTCGGTGGCTCAGCCTGTAATCCCACACCTTTGGGAGGCTGAGGTGAGTGGATTGCCTGAGCCCGCGGGTTCGAGACCTGCTTGGGCAGCGAGACCTCATCTCTACAATAAATAAAAAAAAAAAATCAATCGGGCATGGTAGCGCATGCCTATAATTCCGGCTACTTGGAAGGCTGAGGCAGAAGGATCGCCGGAGCCCAGCAGGTCGAGGCTGTGGTGGCCGGGAGCAGCCACTGCACTCCAGTCTGGGTGATGGAGTGAGACTCCAACTCAGAAAAAAAAAAAAAAAGAATTTGTTGGGTGGTAAGCCAGGCACAGTAGCACACACCTATAATCCCAGCTACCTGGGAGGCTGAGGTGGGAGGAACATCTGAGTCCAGGAGTTTGAAACTGTAGGGCACTATGACTGTGCCAGTGAATAACCACTGTAACCCAACCTGAGCAAATAGTGAGACCCCTTCTCTAAAAAAAAAAAAAAGAGAAAGAAATCCTTAGATGGGCTTAATAGCAGAAGACAGAACATAGTAGAAGAAAGAAATAGTGAACTCAAAGACAGATCAATAGAATATATACAATTCAAAGCATGTATGTATTCTATTGCAAAACAAGCATTACAGAGCATGAGAGACTTATGGAACAATATAAAATGGTCTAACATATATGTAATTAAAGTCCCAGAAGAAAAGGGAATGTGGAAGAAGAAATATTTTCAAAAGACATAAGTGAAAATTTTCCAAAATTCTTGAAAGATATCAATCCATAGACTCAGGAAGCTTAGTTAACTTCAAAGCAGCATAAATGCAAAGAAAATAAAAACCTAAGCATATCTTAGTCAAACTGCAAACAGCCAAAATAAAAAGTACTTCCCAGGATCTATGAATATTTCATACAAAATATGTTGAAAAACTTATGGAGAAAATTAGAAAACTCTATTGAAATACAATATAGAAAGCCTAAGTTAATGGACACTCCATGTTCATGAATTAGAAGTCTCAATCTCACCCCAAGTGCCATAAGAGATAAGATAGACAAGTGGGAACTCATAAAACTGACAAGCTTCTGCAAAACCAAAGAAACCACCAAGAGAACAGGGAGACAGCCCACAGACTGGGAAAAAAATATTTGCCAACTCTATGTCTGACAAAGGCCTAACATGTAGGATCTGCAAGGAACTCAAACGTGCTGAAAAGTAAAAAACAAACCAGCCCCATTACAAAATGGGCAAAAGATATGAATAGACAGTTCTCAAAAGAAGACATACAAGCAGCCAACAGATACATGAAAAACCTGCCTGAGGAAGAGAGGGCACACCTCATCAATAAGAGTACCTGCACAATGAATATTTGTATACCTAATCCTGAATTGTACCCCACAATTTTTAAATTTAAAAAAAAGAAGTCTCGATCTCTTAAATACGTCAATTCTATACTAGTCCCTAGATTCTATAAAAGTCCAACAAGATTTTCCAGAACTTGTTCAAAATTGTGCACATATAAACAAATATTTTGTTAGCAACATTAACATAGATAATAAAATTGCCAATAAAAACTAAGGTGATAATAAACACAAATTTAGGATAGTGGCGATCTCTAAGAATATAGGAATAGTGAGGGGTCATGGATTTTTTTTCTGGATAGTAGGTTTTGAAGTGTTTGGTGTCATTTTGTTTTTTATACCTTTATGTATTTTAAAATTTTTTTTTGTATTCTCAATATATTTTTAAAATCAGGCTTTTTAAAAAATAGATTAAAAGCTAGGAGCATTAGGTGCCTTAAGAAGTATAAAGTCAGAGAAAAAGAAAAATCTAAATCAGCCTAGAAAATACTTGAAAATAAATGTCTTATAAAGAATTTTTATGCAGAATATGCAAAGGCCTCTCAAAACTCAATAAAAAGAAAACCAACAACCCAGAGTTTTGTTAAAATGAGTAAAAGACTTGATAAGATATTATACTTCATCAAAAAAGATATACATGTGGCAAATAAGCACATGAAAAGCAATAATCATTGAGAAATGCAAATTAAGACCACAATAAAAGACCACTACACACATATTAGAGTGTCCAAAATGAAAACAATTGACCATAACAATTGTTAGTGAGGAACAAGTATTGACAACTGCAACTTTCATACATTGCTGGTAGAAATATAAAATGGTACAAACGCTTTGGAAACATTTGAGCAGTTTGTTAAAAAGTAAAATATACATCTACCATATAATTCCACACCTAGGTATTTACCCAGGAGAAACGTGTATGTAAATGTTCATAACAGTTTTATTTGTAATAGTCAAAAACTAGAAACACCCAAATGTCCATCTACAGGCGAATGGACAGACAAATTGTGGTACATCCATACAATGGAATACAAGTCAGTGATACAAGGCGGTGAACTATTGATACTCATAACAGTACAGATGATTCTTCAAGTAATTATGCTGGGTGAAAGAAATCAGATAAAGAAGAGTACAGACTACCAAATGATTCCAACTGTTAAAAAAAAAAATCTGAAAGATGTCAGCTAATCTGTAGTGACAGTTCACCCCTACTGGGGCATGGAGGGGTAACTGATA